TATGGTATATATGTGTATATATATATATATATCAGTATATATATATATATATATATATATATATATATATATATATATATATATATATATATATATATATATATATATATATATATATATATACAAAACGAAGAGATAAATGAATAAGCAAATAATAAGACAATAAACAATGATGGTAGTGGCAACATCGGTGATAGATATATAATAGATGAATTTATAAAAATGCATAACTGAAATTCCTATCTCTGGATGCACGTGGTATGTTTGGACGCACGCAATTGAGTGTGTTCGTGTAAGAACATATCTGTTCGTGCATAAGGTAAGTGTGAGTGTGGAAGTATGTATGGTGTACTGCATCATTAGTAATTTTAACTCGAATGCACTATTTACAGTACGAAATAAAAATGACTTGCTAGTTATCAGCTCCCCAAAAGGGGGATCCTCTGGGCATGTTTTCGCTCAAGACCCACCGCCAGTCCCCCTCCAGTGAGAGGTTGCTTCCTCCCACCCACACATTTGCAGATTTCGAAAGTCCTTCAAGACGAAACACCGTATCACATCTTCGCTTTCTAAGGAACTTTAAACAGTCTCTTATCTTACAATTTATGTTTACATATTGAATGAAATAATACTGACTACCACAGAGGTCCCTAAAGTGGTTGATATCGACCCCTGTGGGTCGATAAAATTATACAAGGGTGCAATAGACGCCTTGGGATCAAAAAGGGATAGACAAACTCCGGAAGTGTGTAATTTTGCGGTCGAAGGCTGATAATGGTATAAGAAATATAGATATTCAAGGGGAGCAGGGTGGGGGCTAGAAAGATATTTTCGCAGGGCTTTATGTAGTTTCCCTTACCGATGTATATAGAAAATAGGGTTTGGTATGCAACCCCCTCCCCCAAAGGTATATGGAAACTACACATATATTTAACCCCCATACCAGGGGGTCAATATGAAATCAAGGATTCCATGAGGAGGTCAGTGGTCTTAAAAGTTTGAGGAACCCTGGTCTAGCACTTTAGACTATATTTGTAACTCATATTATAAACATTTCATGTATATAATCATGGAATATACAGAACTGCATGCTGTGCTCGTCGAACGGTCTTGAATTTAAAATGATCATACCCAATAAATTGTCATTATACCTTTTTTATAACACTCAACATAGTCACCATATTTTCTATTGATTTTGTTTTCGAATGACAGTCACAGTTTCCATTCTTAGAATTTTTATAGCCAAGTGGCCCGACACTTGAAGTGAAGTAGGAAATCACTTGCCTGAACCGTTAATGTATCCAAGAGCATCTGCGAATGCATTGGCGTCCTGGAACATGGCCAAATCTCCTCCCAAGTCTTGACAGAAGAGTCGAGCATTTCCCAAGTGACGCTGATGTCTTTAGCAAGGTAGAGACAGGTTTCGCCAAAGTTTAAGGAGTTACCAGGGCAGGACACTTCTACAAGGAGGAAAAGGTATATTTCATTAAATAGAATAATAAATCTTGTTTGACAATATTCCATGACAAGTGCACTAATTTTTAAAGGCTGACGTTTCTTTTTACCCATAGAGGTGCGGCTCTGCGTCAAGGAGCCTTCGATATTATTTAAAATGTTCACTATATCCCTCAGGATGTCGGCAGACACTTGTTCGGTCTGTTTCAGCTCTTTCAGCTGGACTTCTTGGCGCAACAAGAGAAGGTCTGTGAGACTCTGTAGCAGAGAGGGATCATTTATAGTGTAAATTTACACACACATTCTCAATCACATATTTATGCTCTGTACACTTACACAAGTATCAAGCATTTCCCCATTTATTCAGTGACTTACCTGGGTACAGTTAGCATGAAGGGGAGGATAATGCTGTTCGTAAAGGTCGCTCACACTGCCTTGCTCCAGCGCCCACACCGCCCCTGCCACAGCCCAAAGAAATGCTGCAACCACACGCATCTGTCAACATCAGGAGGCTTGTCAGTGAGTATCATATCTTCTCAGTTTCACTTTCTCTTTTTCGAGAGTGATTATTACCCCATAATATATATATATATATATATATATATATATATATATATATATATATATATATATATATATATATATATATATATATATATAATATATATATACGATGGACAAGAAACCAAAATAACAAATCGTACCATTGGAGGAAGCGAAAGTCTGGGCCTCGGCGAACAACTCCTGAGTGAGACCCTTCGTAGACTGAATACGCTACGATGCTCTTCGGATTTATAACGTCGCCGTCTGCCTTTTTTACGAACTGTAATCCTGCTCTTTGAAATCTAAGAAGCCAGTTAACCAGAGCTACTCTGGTGTTGCTATGCAAGACGACTGTTTGCTTGTTGGTAACTGAAAACTATTAGCAATAAAGATGTGTGTGTGTGTGTATGCATCTATGAGTATATATATACATACCTATATATGTATGTATGTAAAAGTATTATGTATATATATACAAATATATATGTGTGTGTGTGTGTGTGTATCTGAATGTGTGTGTGCGTACATTTATATGTGTGTGTATGTATATATATATATATATATATATATATATATATATATATATATATATATATATATATATATATATATATATATATATATATACAAATATATATATGTGTGTGTGTGTGTATCTGAATGTGTGTGTGCGTACATTTATATGTGTGTATGTATATATATATATATATATATATATATATATATATATATATATATATATATATATATATATATATGTGTGTGTGTGTGTGTGTGTGTGTGTGTGTGTGTGTGTGTGTGTGTGTGTGTGTGTGTGTGTGTGTGTGTGTGTGTGTGTGTGTGTGTGTGTGTGTGTGTGTGTGTGTGTGTGTATGCGTGCGTATAAAGGTATGTTTAGTGCATATATATAGACACACGTACATATACATGTGTGTATATGTATATATATATGTTTACACATATGTATGTATACATAAATATGTATATATACATATGTAAATATATAAATATATATATAATATATATATATATATATATATTATATATATATATATATATATATATATATATATATATA